AAAAAAAAAAAAAAAAGAAAAAAGAAAAAAAAAAGTAGAACACCAGCTCCCTCGGATAATCTTGAGCCCTATTTCTGCTTGTCCCTCAAATACTGGCTTAAATGTCACTTCCTAAGGGAGCCTTCCCTGACCTCCTCATTGTTCCAAATCAGGTTCCCTTGGTTCTCTCCTAGCAGTCTCTTCTTCATGGTCAGATTTTTTTCTTATTAATGTGTCTCTTCCTGTGAAACTCTAGGCCAGGAGGCAGTGGCCGGGTGTTTTCCTCATGTGGTACGCCCAGTGCCTGTGGTGGTTGGCACAGAGGTGGGTGTTCAAAAGATAAGCATTGAGAAAAAAGAATGGAGACAGAGATGCGGCTCGCTGTACCCAATTCCCAGTCCTCACCCCCGCATGTGGGGGAGCAGCTCGAAATGGACTGTGAGTTCTGGGTGGGAATCTCAGTTCCGCTCCTGACTAACCTTGGGCACGTGAACTGCCCCTCAGTGGCCTCATCTGAGAAATGGGGACCTCGCTGCCGTCAACGAAGAGCATCCGGCCACAACAGCAGCTCTGTAGGCCCAGTGGCCCTTTTGCTGCCTTGAGTTGGGTGATGGAACCTCAGAGAGGTGGAGTTTATCTTCGTCTGCCAAAGGCTCTTGAAAAGCTGCTTTGGGCCAGGGGTAGTGGCGCATGCCTGTAATCCCAGCGCTTTGGGAAGCAGAGGCAAGAGCATTGCCTGAGCCCAGGGGTTTGAGACCAGCCTGGACAACTTGGCAAGACTTCATCTCTACAGTAAATCAAACAATTAGCTGGGTGTGGTGGCGCCCACCAATCGCCCCAGCTACTTGGAAGGCTGAGGTGGAAGGATTGCCTGAGCCCAGCAGATCAAGGCTGGGGTGGCCGTGAGCCATTGCACTCCAGCCTGGGCACAGTGTGAGACTCCAACTCAAAAAAAAAAAAGCTGTTTCCAGTATTGTGGAACAAAGCTTCCTCCCCCGGTGACTGCTGACAGCTGGCACAGGGGCGCCTCTGCCAGGAAGGACACCCGTCGCTCAGTGCACCCTCTACAGAGCCCCCAAACGAAACAGAGCCAGCAGTTCTGAGCCTTAGCTTGTCACAGGAGAGGGGCGATTCTCTGGTACACACACGACATGCCTCTCCTGTTTAGCTCAGAGTCCCGTTGATGACTTCGCTCAACCAGTTAGGGGGTGGGGGCAGGCCTTCAGGACAAGGGATCTGCTCTCAGGGGCTGCATTCTTCCCCAGGCACCCCCTGACCTGAGGCTGCTGGAAGGCACAAGTGCCCAGTGTGAGAGGCCAGCCCCTCTGCAGAGTGGCCTGGATTCCAGGACAAAAGAGCAGGCTGCCCGGGGCAGCCTGTAAAGCTCTCCCCAGATTAGGCAGGCGCTTGGCAGGCCCTCAGCCACCAAGCAGGCGGGGGGCGGCAGGAATCCGGCCAGGCGGGGTGACCTTCCTCTCGGCAGGCCTGGCAGGGCTGCAGGCAGCCTCAGTGTGCCTGGTGGAGAGGCTGGGAGAGGCTAAAGAAGAGGGGTAGGACAGCCAGGGGCTTCCTGACAACTCTCCCCTCAGCTGCTGGCCCTGGGTCACCTGAGCAGAAGGGGGAGCCCAGAATTATCTAGAGATGAACTGGTGGCTGCAAGGGACAGATGGCCTGACCAGAGCTCAGGGGGGAAAAAAAATCTATCTTACAAAAAACCGCTGCTTTTGTTATCAAAGTCACTTATTTTATTTTTTAACATAACCACGGGCCAGAAAAAACTAGAAGATATACATCACAAGGTTAACAGTGGTTATCTCGGGTGGGAGAAAAAGGACCCGAGTTCCTGCATGATGTTCACTATTACACTTTCAACAACCTGACATTTTCAAAAAATAGTCAAT